AGTTAGTCAACATCAGCCAAATGACTCAATAGTCTCTCTCTCTCTCTCTCTCTCTCTCTCTCTCTCTCTCTCTCTCTCCCGGTTTCAGTGATCGTCAGAAACTCATCAATAGTGGGGATGAGTAATAAAATGAATACAAAGGCAAAAGCAATGCAAAGCAAACAGTGGTATGAGTGGAGAGAAAAACAATGATTTGGTTTAAGTCCTGAGCGCTGTATGCCTTCTCAATAGTCACTTATTATTGGATCCCAACTGTGGTATAGCTATGATTGAAAACAACGGTCACTAAAGACCCATAATCTGTAATATACCAGAGTTTGCATTTGCATTGAGTGAAGACTGTTGTATAGTATAAGTGACGCATTCTTTCATTCATGCCTTTCAATGCATTGAAGCCATTGAAGACATAACCAAATTAAGGCAAACATTGAACAAATTCTCAACACAAGCCTTATATGAAAAGTTATGCTGTTATCAGTTATAATAAACCCGTTTTCATAACACATAATATACTGCATATCCAAATACTACCCGATTCTGTATATCGCTTACAAATGTAATTTAATTATGATTTTATAGCTTTAACATCAAAATGATTAAAAATAGGAATTTAATATAAGTTATGAAAACTATTTGAATTCGTAAAATATGGTAAAAATAGGGTAAAATTGGGTCAATCGATGCTCTGCTCTATATATTGACATCAAATAAACAAATAATAAGCGAAACACTTGTGAAGAAAACTCTTCTATTCTTAGTATTGAGTTTGAGATCACATTCAATATGAATATATTCTACGAGTGATTAATACATGTTTCGGTGAATCTGTTTTAAAAATAGTGGAAAAAAGTTTTTCATTCGCACCGAAAAGTAAATAAACAAAGAAATGGCATCACATTCAGTGACGAGAGAGAGAGAGAGAGAGAGAGAGAGGGAGAGAGAGAGAGAGAGAGAGAGNAGAGAGAGAGAGAGAGAGAGAGAGAGAGAGAGAGAGAGAGAGAGAGAGAGAGAGAGAATTTGGCAAAGTTGTGCCAATACTGTGTTTGTGTGGTTTTTCAGTCAAACAGCGCTTCTCTGAAAATTGTGTTCAAATAATTTGAGGACTTTATGTGAGGTCAACGTCTAAAGGGAAAGGTGTTCACAAAACAGTATGCATTGAGAGTACAAATAATGGTTAGCAAAACGAAATTCAAACAAAACATTGAAACTCAATGACTCTATGAGTTCTATGCCATAGAGTTTATGGTATGGTATGGTATGGTATGGTATAAGTGGGATAGAAATTGCTGAACAAAACAAAACTCAATTCACTACATATTGAACATGGATTTGGAGTCTGAAGTGTGAATTGGCGTATATTTCGGTCAACAGCTGCCAATCTTCTAGACATAAGCAAAAAAGTTTGGATACAATTAGTTTAACTTAACATCTCATTAGCGCCCATAGCTCTCAATCATCACTATTTGATCACAAAAACGATAATTTTTAACTCCAAATAAATATAATTTTACAAATTGTGTGTTTTATGAAAATTACTTATTTTATTAACACATTTTGGCACAAAATTATGACAAAAGTTAATGTAATTATAATTAAAAGCGCGAAAAATATGACGAATTGAATGAAGATTAATATCTGACAATTAATCAACGGATAACATGACAGGCATTCAAATTGACACAACTTTTTGAAGTATTTTCTATTCGGTGCCAAATATTTATGTTTTAAGCCTAAAAATCTAGGGCTAAATCATTACTTGAAAGTGGATATTGTGTCCAAATTTATAACATCTGTTCCTCTATTAGTAAACACACTATGTATTGAAGTTTTACATAATTTAATGTTTCATTTATTATACACAGCGAGAGTCTAAACAAAGATTATCTGAAACCGATCTCAATTGTCGATCATCTCGTTTGAAGAGAGCATATGTTTTATGTAATATATAAAACATATTGTGTTTTAGTTTTGTTTTTAAGCTCTTTTATGTATTAATAAGTTCTCTAGAGTTTTGTAATTCAGTATATTTTGTGCGTAAAATCAGGAATTTATTTGTTTATTAAAATATATAAAATCGTTTATTGGAAAAATAATTAACAAAAATCAAACTAATGTTCAATAATAAAAAAAAGGCAAACAGAGAGGTCAAAGAATTATACATAATTTAAAAATAAAACAATTTTTAAAATGCATAATTTATTCATAGATTTAATAAAAATATATAATAAGTTGTGATTAACGTAATGATAAAAAAGGAAATAATAGTGCAATTGATTACTGGCACATTATCGACCACTGAATTGTATTCAGAGTTAATCTATTAGATTATTAATTAATAAATTAGCACAACATGTCATTCACTAATCAATTAATAGTTTTAATTAATTGAATAAAATATATTTAGAATTATACATAATTTAAAAATAAAACAATTTTTAAAATGCATAATTTATTCATAGATTTAATAAAAATATATAATAAGTTGTGATTAACGTAATGATAAAAAAGGAAATAATAGTGCAATTGATTGCGGGATTAAAGAAAAATATAAATCAAATGTAATTTAAATAAAGAGATAACTAAAAAGCAATATCGAAGACCATATAAGAGAGTTTATGTGTGATATAAATGAATGGTAGTGTTGAACCGAAACAGGTTAGCAAACTCTCAGACACTCCAATGCCTACAAGTTTTGTAATGAGAAAAAAGAGAGAATGTTTGAGATGTTTGGGTCGGCCCTCAATGTGTTGAGTGATAGACAAACAAATGTTGACTAATTAGCGAATTGACCGCATATTGATCGCCAGTTTTGGTCATAATTTACAATACATGTTGTTTTCATATGAAATATTAGACCTGATATCAAATAATGTCTGATAAGTGGCTGGAAGTGAGAATATTCTGGTGTAGAGTTGACATGTGCTTCACTATGCAAACTAATAAGTGTCGGGTAGTGTTATAGCAGTGGTATATAGTGTACAAAATAGTGCACAAAATAGTGTACATTTGAGAGGCAGAAAAGGGAGAGAGAGGTCCCGAATGTAAGCATATATTTGAGACGCCAAGCGATTGGCTTCGCATAGCATTCATGTAATAAAATTGAGAGAAAACTGCAAATTCAGTCCAAACTCTAACCGATTGGTTGTTTGCAATTAAGTTAAGCTTTATTTACATTCTTTACTATCAATTTATAGCATTTGTTTGAACACACATTCGCTTTACTGTGTACTGCTATAATAGCTGACAATATTTGAGATTCAATACAATATACAGTAATATTAATACCACTCTATTCTTATCATACATTCAAATATTTATTTATTGTTTGTTTTTCATTACATCACTCATTGAGAGAGCCGTTTGATTCGTTGGGTAATTAATCACTCAATTATTGCTGACATAAACTTATACTATAATAGAAATGATAGTACAATGTATTATATCAAGTGTTGTATGGGTTATGAATCGACAGTACAGAAGGGTATGGCAATGGATGGGACACTTACACAGCTTCAGAGATATGTCGGGTGTTTTCATCGACGATCAGATGTTCGGCCACTGAATACCCGAAATACGAGTTCTTTGGCCCGTATTTAATGACTGGAAGTCTTGTCTCCAAATTGAATGCATTTGTCAATTGATATAAATTTAAATTCAAAACTAATGTTAATAAACATATTGAATATATTGAAGACATCGCTGTATATTTGAGTCCAATTCTTATATTAAAGTCAAATAAAAGTCTTAAACAACTTCTTAAAGAAGAGATCACTAAATGTGAGAACATTTTTGTGCTTATAATATAGAAACTAAAACTTTTTATATTAAATATATTAATATCACTTCAAAATGAATTCAAAAAATTGAAAACATTTCAAACTATTGAACACTTTATGAATGTATTGAAGAATTTGTTGAACACATTGTTTGTTAAAAAGTTTTGGGATTGAAAACAATCGCTAATCTGGTCTGAAATACTTGTGAGACTCGCATATCATACACAACACAAGTAGTGATAGCCTTAAGCCATAGACCACTTCCCACTCAACACTGCATTCAAATGTAACGCCAATATTAACCACACATTCACTCATTGAGCGCTTCTAATGCTTCCAATGCCTAACCATTCAATCCAAACAACTCTGGCATCAGTCGAGCACTGGCTTCGAGTCGACCACTGCTTCACTTCAGCACTACTTCACGTCTCATATCATCAGCTCTTTGGCGACTGTGGAGACACCACAACATACTATCACATACTATACCACACCATATACTATGGCTCATGTCTTATAGACTCCGCAGGATTTTCATAGTGTTATATAACTAACACTGACGTACACTACAGCAATATGATTGGCTGTGTGATTAGGTGTGCCATGTATACATGTCTCACAGCCAATCATATTGCAAGTGTACGTCACGTGATAGTTATATAACACTATGAAATTCCTGCGGAGGCTTTATCACACCTCCCTTTACACCCAATCCACTACTGATTCACACAATACACACACATGTAATGCAAATACATTTAGCAGTAATTACTTAATCTTATTATTCATATTAAATCATATTTTAGTGGAAATGCATGATATGTTTGTGGTTTGGATTAACTTAAAACATTGAGTCGACCACTGCTTCACTTCAGCACTACTTCACGTCTCATATCATCAGCTCTTTGGCGACTGTGGAGACACCACAACATACTATCACATACTATACCACACCATATACTATGGCTCATGTCTTATCACACCTCCCTTACACCCAATCCACACTATAAGTGTGTTATGTGTGTGTACATTACGTTTATGTAAATCGTCATTAATGAATTAGAATAATAAGTATAATTTAGTATAAAATCACCTTTACGTACTATACAAACACCAAACCTAATTGAATTTTGTAAAATTAAACATAAATACAAACAGATTGTGATCACTATAGGCGCTGAATGAGGCGAGAGAGCAATCAATGCCATCAATGCATTCAAAGGGATATTCAGTAGAAATGAAAAGCAAATCAAATCAATGTTTGCTTATTATTAACAATAATTAAATGCATTTTTGATGCCATGAAGTAATGCAGTGAAAGGA